GGCCCAAGAAGACGGCCAAGCCGTACCCAAGGAGGCCTCCAAGGCGCCCTGAGACTCCTGCTAGAGGATCCCCAAGAGGGCGCCAGAAGGCAACAATGTGTGATTTTCCATCGTGTCGGGGTCCTCGCCCTCGAGGGCCTCCGACAGGCTCGGGCGGCCCACGAGGCCTCCAAGGCCAAGAGGGCGGCCTCAAGACGGCCCAAGATGACCTCCAAAACGACCAAGACGACCTCCGAGTCGGCCAAGATCGCCCTGAACGGTCTCCACGACCGTCCAAGATGCCTTCCAAGACGGCCAGGATGGCAATATTGCTCCAATGCGGCGCATACAGCCTCAAGAGGCCACCACGAGGCCCCCATGAGGCTCCCCGTAGGCCCCCAGAGGCCCCTAACAGGCCACCTCCTGGTCCCCCTCCCCCTTCCCCGTCATCCCCTGCTCCGTCGCTGCCTCTTCCACCAAGTACTCTCCCGGGAACGGCCACAACGGCTCGGACCACATATGTAGTCCAACAACTTGTCGAAGGTTTGGCCCAACGTTTTGGCACATCGGCGTTTCTGGGAAGGCAAGGGGTGGCGCAGACTCGCAGTCGGTGTCTTTGATTTACTCTTTTTTCTATGGCATCCGCTCGTGCTCTTTGCAAGAACACACGGGCTGCGCCTTCACATTGACGCTTTGGCAAAGCAGAAGTCTTCGAAAGTCTGCTGTGGCCCACTCGTGGATTGCACTTTGTGGTACCCTTTGAGGAAGTCCTCAAATTCGTACGCATGGTGGAACATTCCAGGGCCCATTGCTGCTCCAATCATACCAAAACCACTCTGAGTCTTCATGGCCGCATCGGCGCTTCCCAGTGAGAACAAGTCCGTAAACATCTCCTGCACCTGTGACGGGCGAGGATAGAACACACTGTGCTGGGCTCTGCCACGAGCGACTTTGACGGCACAAGGCTGATGGCGTTTCTGTGACTGCGACTCGATTGTTCGCTTCATTTGAGAGCTGTCGCTTAAAATTAAGATTGTGCAATTTTCATGGTTCTGGAGCTCCGGTAAACTTCTCGCCACACCCTGCATGCATTCTACAGCCTTCGCCCCGGCATCCGTGAAGTTACCACCCATGCCCCATGTGGAATCCCTGAACCATGACCTAGAATCTTGCCTATGCATGTGACTATCTCCCAGGCGTAGGTGCCCGACAAAATTGAACGCGCTTGGCGCCAACTCATGTTTGAATTGTGTCACGTCAAACAAGAAGTTCAATGAACAACCCAGAAAGGTACTGCGCCCAAGTGCAAGGGACATGTTTTGCGAAAGTAACTTATACAACTCATCGCCACGCCCAAAATTACCAGAGTGGCACAACACAGGGTATTGTGCCAAATTTGTGGCTTTCTGAATCATGTCTGCTGCCGATGGTGATGCTGATGATTGGAAATTAAAATCCCTAATGGTGGCGTTGGGCATGCATCTTTTGTAGCTGGTGTATCGCCACGTTGGCCCATTCTGGTTCGCAGGAACAATATCTGATAGCTGTTCTCTTCCGATACTATAATCGACAACAAACTCCCGCCTACTGACCATGGCGAGCATCAATGCATTTGACAACCCTCCGAACACATTTCCAACCCCTTGGCCAAGCCAATTACCTCGGAATACCAGTGTGCCACTCTTTGGCTCATTTATGTAGCGGGCCCAAATTGACGCGCTGGCTGAATAAGAACACACTGATTCTTGCCAGCGGATAGCATTCGATGTGCTGCTGCGTGTACTTGATCGCGGTAAGCTGTTTGGGAGCCGGACGGCGTTGGCTAGATTCGCGCAGCATAAACAGGTAAAGAGGATCTTCATCAGCTTAAACTTGTTACAAACTATAGAGTGTGCGGTCGAATCAGCATGGGCAGAAACAGTATCCACTTGAGCCAGAACGGCTTGAGCCAACGGCACCTGCCACTGCTACGACTCTGCTGGCTGCCGCAGGTTCGATATCAGCGCACTGGTGTCGCGGCGCCCAACTCATCGTGGTACCTTGTAATTCCTAACGCGCTGACAATACCATCCGGCGCACTGATTCAACACCCGGCCTTCACATTCTGCCGCGCCTTTGTCTAGGTAGAGGGTTCTGAAACAGTCTAAGCAAGGTGCGGGGCCTCGCGGCCAAGCTTTTGTCCGTGGCCACTTGGTGCGATGGCCGGCGCTCGTGCATTGCGCCGCAGTCGTCGCATTCCTGAGTGACTGGATGTCGTCGTAGCAGAACACTTCGGCGGTCACTGCCGACCGCATAGCAAGGACTGCGCGTCGTCGGCATCCTACGTCAATTGTTCAAATCTTCCCTGCCAGGCAGATCGCTCTGCCTCCGTGGATCCGAGCGTTTGCTTGTGGCCTCACACCTCGGACCCGCCAGAGAAGAAATGAGCTGACATTAAGACAAACACGAAGTCGGAGAACCAGGCACTTTCTCGTGCTTCTCTCTCATCCACTCTCCGCCTTCTCCTCATCCTCATCTTCCGTCTTCCCTGCCTCCATGCGCATCATCAAGTCGATGCTCGATGGTGTCCAGAAGCCCTGGGCGATCATGAGGAATGCCTCGAGGGGGAATGGGGAACGGAGGAGGAGAGAGCCAGAGGAGGGAGGAGAGGGATGTGCAGGAAAACGGAATGGAAAACGATGACGGGGAAGGGCCAAGAACGGAAAATGTGGAGGACTCCTTTTCGCTTGGCTTCTGCCCGGGACCATCCGAGGGCGCCCTGAGAACGACGAAGATGAAGTTTCAATACAGGGAAAGCATACTGGGCAAAGTCTAGCTGTCAACCAACGCCCTGCAAGCAGACCCAGGCGTGACACCTGGAGCGTACATCAAAGCACAGCTGCGCCGCACGCAGGTGTCGCTGCCTGTCGGTTTGTGCGTGTGCACGAATGCCTAGGATCACGCGTGCCCGGGCGCACGCCTACCGGAACGTGCGCGAAATAAAATGTTGTACGGCTGGGTGGACGCACGCCTGGAAGTGCAAACCCTTGAACTGCTGCATGCTTGGATCTGTGCGTGCAGCTGCATGCACCCACGCCCTGGGCGAGGCTGCGCTTTGGTGTGAGGAGGAGGAGGAGGAGGAGGAGGAGGAGGAGGAGGAGGAGGAGAGGAGGAGGAGAGGAGGAGGAGGAGGAGAGACGAGGAGGAGGACGAGGAGGAGGACGAGGGAGGAGGAGGAGGAGCTGGACGCTGCGTGTTGCCGAGTGGCCTCCGTCGGGGGGCCCCCGCCGCGCCCCCAGCAGCCGAGGGCCCGGGCTGGCCACGAGCGCGCCCGGAAGCAGGCCTCGCGCGCGAGCCGGCACAGACCCCCAGCAGGACCCCAAGATGAGCATGCGACTACCTGCCATGGGACGCACAGAGACATACTAGTACTATATGTCCTCCTTGGAGGCGCGCGTACGACCTGAACATATAGTATACCCATCTTGTAGTATATCGTTTCCCGAGCGGTGTGGCCAGAAAGCGCCCGCCACGACGCATATACTATAAGATTCCTCGGTGCGCGCGTCGCCCCTGGGAGGGCGACGCACATATAGTATAAGTATGTGGGGGTGTTGCCGATACCAGACCACCCCAGCCCAACCCGAAGACCCGAATTTCGGGTTGGGGGGGGTAAGGGCTCCACGCGTGTGTTTTCGATGTTCCCCGACCCTCCCCCCCCCACTGGAGATCGATGGTAACTTTGAGCCTTCGGGTCGGATTGGGGTGGTTTGGTGGGTGGTGAGCATGAGCAAGTACTTGGAACTGACGCCATTCTCCTCGAGGTCTGCGGAGGCTCCCAATGGCTGTCCCGGCCCGACGAGCAGCCAAGCCGGGTGCGCCCAGGCACTTGAGAACGGACTGCTTCGACAGCGGGTCCGCGGAGGTGAGTTCGAGCTGCTCGGCGGCCATCGCGGTCTCCTCCGTCCAATCCTTGATATTGGAATTGGCCTCAGCACGAGCAGCCAGGGGTTTTGTAGTGTCTTGTTGACGTTGTTAGCAGCTTAGTGGGCCCCAGAAACGGCAGGGCCGTTTTTTCACTGTTTCCGAAAAAGTGTCCCTTGAAAATGGAAACGGCAAAAAAGCGGCGACCGGAAACGGCAATAAAAACGGCTCCAGGAGTGGAACCGGAGCGGGAACCGGGAAAAGAACGGCGACGGAACCGGCCAAAACAACGGCAAAAAGGAACCGGTAACAAAAACTGCCATGTCGCTTCCAGGGCCCACTGAGCCCCAGCAGGACCCCAAGACGGCCTCCCACGGTGGCGCCGCGAGGGGCGCCTCGGCCTCTTCCCTCCACGCCCAGGCCTCGCAGGAGGAAGAGGAGGGGCGGGAGAGGCACACGAGCAAGATCGGCAAGCAGCAAGGGAGGAGAGCGCCAGGCGGACCCGAGAGGGGGGAAGGATGCGGCAGTCGTCGGGTGCTGACCCAGCGGAGTCGCTACCCGCAGCAGCCAGCGCGCCGTGGCTTCTGAGGCCGCCGCTCGAAGTGTTCAGTCTCGGGCGATGTCCACTCTTGGGGGTACTCCCTGCGTTCTGTGACTCCCGGGGCCCATGCCAAGCCTCCAGAGGGCCCTCGACCCTGGCTCGTTCATTTCCCCCCCCCTCCTGCTTCTCCCTCGTCCTACCTCCCCCTCCTCCTGCATCCATCTACGTTATCCTGCCTCCTAGGGCAAGGTTAGGGGCGGTGTGATGAGGTAGGGTGCAGGGAGTAGGAAGTAAGAGGGAGACAGAAGGAGGCATGACGTAGGAGGAGGCAGGGAGATAATGAGGCAGGGGAGGTCGGAAAAGGTAGAGGGAGGTAGGAGAAGGTGTGGGGGAAGATAGGAGGAAGTAGGAGGACCTGGAATGTGGAAAGGGTGAGGTAGGAGGCCGAGGCTAGGTTCAGGGGCTATGGCCAAGGCTGTGGGGCTGATGCTAAGGCTACGGCCGTAGGGATGATGCAGAGGCTGAGGTATGGGCTAGGGACAAGGCTGAGGGGATGGTGCTAGGGCTGATGGCGGGGGCGGAGGCTGGGGATTGGGCCGAGGCTATGGTTTAAAGCCAGGGGTTGAGGCTCGAGCTGGCCGAGGGCTATGGCAGGGAGCTGTGACAACGGCTTAGGTTTTGGCTTGGGCGGGGGTCAAGGCTGAGGCTATGGCCAGGGCTGGAGCGCTGAGGCCTGTAGGGCTGAGGCCAGGGCCGAGGTAACGATGAGAGCAAGGGCTGAAGAACGGGCCGAGGGCAGGTCTGCCGCCTAGGGATGAGGCCGGGTCTCGGATCTTGGCCAGGGATAGAGCCAGGGGCGGGGGTAAGGGCTGAATCTGACGCCTATGGTTATCAAGCGGGGTGATGTGCGAGGCTACAGCTGGGGCAACCGCTGAGGCTGTAGACGAGGCTATGGTGGAGGCCGTAGAACTGAGGCTGTGGCTGTTGGGCTCAGACCCGGGCTGGGGAAAGGCTATGGTCGGGACTGAGCTAAGGACTGTGGCTCAGGCTGCGGATAAAGCTCGGGCCGAGGCTAGGGATTAGCGCCAGGAGCCGTGGCTCGGGCTAAGGGCTAGGCCTGGAGCCTGGGCTGAGGCGAGGGCTAGGTCTGAGGGCCATGGTTGAGAGCCTTGGCGAGATTTGAGGCTATGGCATGGGCTGAGGCCATTGCCACGGCTATAATGCTGCGGCTGAGGGCTAAGGCTGAGGTGCGGGCGAATGCTGGGGCTAGGGCTCAGGGATACGATTGGCAGCTACGGCCTGGGCTGAAGCTATGGCTGGGGCTAGGGCTGAGGCTGAAGCTAAGGCTGAGCCCATGGGCAGGATTGTAAGGCTGCCTGTAAGGCTGAGGCTAGGGCTCGGACCGATGCTAGGGCGTAGGAACAGAGGCTGAGGATAAGGCTCGGGCCGAGGCCAAGGCGATGGCCGAGGTCCACTGCTGGCAGCCTTGGCCATTGCTGAGGCTATGGCTTAGGCTAGGGATGAGTCTGGGGCTGAGGGCTAGGACTGAGACTCGGGCCATGGCTGTGAGGGCTGGGAGTAGGACTTAGGTTCTGGGCTTGGGTCAGGGCTCGGAGCGGTGCTAGAGCTTAGGGCCAGCGGCCTGAGGCTAGGGCTGAGGCTATGGCTGAGGGCTAAGACTGACTGAGGCTATGCCGTGGGCTAAGGCTGAGAAGCTGAAGCTATGCCATAGCTTCTTGCTTCTCATATCTCATCCAAACGATTATTGTGCCATGTAAGCGGTACGAACACGACACGACAACAACACGACAAACCGATGTGTAACGAATATGGTAGTACTACGCGCTCGCATGAAACACGGAAGTCTGAGATTTTTGAAGCACGACAGCAACAGCCGACGCATTACTACACATTACGCAAACCGCACAGTCCACACAGAAGGTAAGCAGTGGTGCGCAAATGCATCTGCACACGATGACTGCGCAACAAACATGTCCAATCAAAACGATACGAACCCAGTGGCGCAAGCAGAAGGCAAACACGAGCGGCAACTTGCCTGGCATCAGCGAAAAAAAAAAAAAAAACAAGGCAGAACGCTTGGACACACAACAAGCCACATGCGGCACACAACAATACAGTGCATAGGTGGAGCCGTGGGTACAGATGAATATGAGGAAGGGGTGAGGGATCACACAGGAAGGGAGGGGGGACGAGAGCACCTGTGCACTGCCAGATAGCGCTTTGGATGCCTGAATGATGAGTACGCCCCGGCACAACACGGCGCCGCGGCAAGGCGAGGCACAACACGGCTGGCTCGGACTGGAAGACGATGAGGCGGCGGAAGAGGGGAAGGGGGAAGCCCCTCTCCGCGCGCCCGTCTCTAACCGCCGTTTTCCACCTTCCATCGCGCCGGGTAGCGCCCTGCACCCGCGCCAGGAAGCGCTGCCCGCAGCTCATTGCTTCTTCTTCTTCTCCAGTTTCCTTTTGTAGAACGTCAGCTCGTCGCCCTCAAGGACGTAACCGTCGCAACGGCCGCTCTGCCCGGGGCGGGAGGCGATGCACGCGAGCAGCCGGCCGCTCTGGAACTGGTCCTCGACGCCAGGGTCCAGCTTCTGCTTGGATGCCAGGTACTTCTGCTTCGCCATGACGTGGTGGCTTCTCTTGACCTCCTCCTCGCCCTCCTTCTTGACAGCGACACCCTTGACCTTCTTGCCGAGATCAACTCCGTACTTCTTGAGGTAGTACTGCTTGAAAGGCTGCGCATCAATCTGCACGATGGCGTTCTTCACGAGGGTCTTCGTGCGCACGAGCTCATTGCTGCTGGCGTTGTAGACGACGTCCAGGACGCGCACTTTCTTTGTGCTGTTTTCGGTGCCCCACGCGAAATTGCCGCTGTCCAGGCGGAGGGCGCGGTACTTCATGTTGCCCCCCCGGCCGCGCACCGGGCGCACGCGCTTGGAGCCCAGCTTGCAGTGCGCCCACGGCCGACCCATCTCGTACTTGCGCTTCTTCTGGTGGATGTTTCTGCGACCGCCAGTCTTGCGGTGCTTGTGGCGGGAGTCGCGCGAGATGCCCATAGCTCCAACGGTGCCACAGACGGCGGTCGGCGGGGAACGGGGCTGGGATGCTGGATGTGATACGCTCCGAGCCAAGATGGCTCAGTCCGTCTCGGGTGTCGCTCCTCCTCCCCGCTTTCTGCTCCGCTTCTCATTCACCAAGAAAGCCGCCGTCGGCGTCGTCCTCCTCACGTTCCTCATCATACTCCTCCTCCTCCTCCTCCTCCTCCTCCTCCTCCTCCTTTTCCTCCTCCCCTTGCTGCTGCTGGTCCTCCTCCCTCTCCTCCTCCTCTCCTCCTCCTCCTCCTCCTCCCCTCCTCTCCTCCTCCTCCTCCTCCTCCTCCTCCTTCCTCTCCCCGTTCCCCGTCTCACAATCGTTTGTCATCCTCCTCTCCGCTCCTCTTCCAAAGCCCCCTCTTCCCTGCTCCCTCCTCCTCCCGCCTCCTCCGTCATTCTCTGTAGTTATTGCTCTTCCTCCTGCCTCCTCCTTCTCCGTCCTATCCTCCTCTCCTCCTCCTCCTCCTCCTCCTCCTCCTCCTCCTCCTCCTCCTCCGCTCAAGCCGTTCTGGCTCAGGCTTTTGTGCTGTGCCAGGAACACCGTCTGCTGAACCAAATTTTTGTGCAGGCTTGAGCGCCTCAGCCTGCTGAGGTGAAAGGACGGTACCATCACGATTCAGCCATGGTGCCTCCTCCTCCGCCGCCTGTGGATCCTGGCGCTGCTGGGGACGCTCGTCGCGTCCGCTTCGCCGACGGGATCTCCCCAGGCAAAGGCAAAGGCGGGGGGAAAGGAGGCAAGGGCGGCAAGGGCGGCGGTCCCAGTGTTGTCGGAGGCGTCTCCTGGGGCACCTACGGCCGCTGGACCTGTGGCACCTGCGGCTGCCGCAAGAATCGCCCATCCTGGTGGTTCTGCAAGCATAGCAAGACGAGCCGCAACGAAGTTGAGACCGCCGAGCCCCCAGCTCCTCAGGGACAGTGGCAAGCAGGCGCACCTCCACGGCTTCCTCTTCGGTCTGGACCTCAGTTCTCTCTTGGGCCCGATTCGGGACCACAGCAGGGACAACCAGCTGAAGGCATGTCCATGGGCGCGCCCACCACCACGTCGGACCTTGAGAAGTTGGTCACCATGCTGGAGCAAGTGGGCGACACCGACGCAGCCGCTCGCCATCGTGCTGTTCTTCAACAGCGCAAGGCGCAGGAGGCCCCCGTCGTGCCGCTTGCACAGAAGGTCTCCAGAGCATTTGGTGAACTTCGTACCCTACGCGAGAAAACGGAGAAAGCATGCAATGTCTATGACAAGATGGTGGAGGATGTGGCCAAGCAGAAGGATAAGATTCGGGAGCTCTCCGCCGAGCTCACCGCTGCCGAGGCCACCCGCACCAAGCTGGTCCAGGAGCTCCACTCACAAGTGTCTGGTGCACCAGTTCTACTTGATATTTCTTCTATCCTTGATGGCAAAGCTGAGGACATACCTATCAGCATCGACAGCCTGCTCAAGCCCCAATCGGACTACAAGCTGGAGCCTGAGGAGGTGGAAGAGGCCGAAAAGAGAGCCACTCAGCTCAAGGGCGAGCTCCAGGCAGCTGTGCGGACCCTTTTCGGCGAGGCCATGCAAAAAGCCAAGCAATTTCAACAAGATCAGTCGGAGATGTTCAAGCGGTCCGAGGCCAAGCGCAGGCGCACCGAGGAGGAGGGAGGAGCCCAGGCCAAGGGTGGAGAAGGGGAAGCGGCTGCCGCAACGGTGGCCCCACCCAGCTCGGCTACGGCTTCTGCGGCCCCTGCTGCTCCTCCTGCTGCCGCTGAACAATCTCCAGATGGGGTACCTGGAGACGAAGGAGTTCGTGAGCGCGCAGCCCGGATCCTTCATGAGCCCCCGCCGGCTGCGCTCCCGAAGCCGGGGGACACCCCATCGACTCTTCGACGGTAAACCACGTCGAGTGATCACTTCTGAGCCCCTGCGCAAGGGGGGGCCTGCACCGCACTTGCTTCCTGTGCCAGGCGGGCCAAGTTTCTGTGCCCCAGTGAAGTTTCAGCCTCCAGTGGATCTCGGGGTGAGCTTCGGTGGCCCAGCGGCCGCCTTCGGGGAACGCACTACCTGGACCCAGGCCTACCCCTCCTGTGAGCCCCCTGCTGCGTCCTGTAGTCCAGCCTGTGCTGGCCGTTCCAGTAGGAGAGGGTTGATTTCAGCGGTGAAATACACCCTTGCCAGATGCCAGGGGGTCCTTCGCCAAGGTTTTGAACTTTTTGCTGGCTCCCTAGGAGCCGACCCCGCCCCTCTGATCATCTCGTCGGGAACTCTTCGGACCCTTCGAGAGCCCCTTTCGGGAGCCTGGGATAAGCTCACCCAAGGGGTCACAGTTGTGTCCAAGTTTTTAACTGCTCAGGATGCGAGTGTATCTGCTCCTGCCATGGAAATGTCTGTGCGCGCGTCTAGGGTGAGGGACCTCACGGGCCCTAGGCAGCCTCCTGGTGGCAAGCACTCTGGGACCCCTCTCCTCGAGCCCCTGGATCCTGATCAGTTCCCCGTCGACGCTTTCCAGCCCGTCGTGGAAACGTGCAACGTCTCAGGGTGGGGCTCTGCACAGCGCTGGCTGCAACGCACTTCTGCACACATCGTGCTGATGCAAGAGCACCACATCTTTGACGACCAGCTGGCCTCAGCATCCTCTTGGAGTATAAGACACGGTTGGAAGTCACTTTTCCTACCTGCTGACAAAGGACCACACGGAGGGCCCTCTGCTGGTGTAGCCATCCTCGTTCGTTCTGGTCTGGGCCTCCACGCGCTGCAGAGTGGCATGGAGATCGCGAAGCACCGTGCGATTGCGGGGGTGGTCGACCTCCCCGACGGCACCCAGATTCTGTGCGCGTCCCTCTATCTCAGAGATTGCGAAGACCTATCGGATGCGAACCTGGACCTCCTCTCTCGGACAGGCTCATTGATTGGCTCCTTGGGGTACCCAGTCATCACAGGAGGGGACTTCAACATGATCCCGTCGGTCGTCGTCCAGTCGCACCTCGGGGACTCGCTAGGGCAGTGGATGATACCAGGTGGCACCACTTGCACTTCGGTCGCGGGCCCGAAGGTATATGACTATTTTTTCGTTTCGCCAGGGCTCAGCAGAGGGGTTGCTAGGGTGTCGGTGCGGCAGGATAGCGATTTATCCCCCCACTCGCCTGTGCATTTGACCCTCCACCCCTCCCTGAGTAAGTTGCAAGCCCTCAGCTTTCGCAGCCCCCCCTAAGCTGGCCTCCTCTCCGCTCCCCCCCGTCTGCAAGCTGGACCCCGTCCCCGCTTTGGGCCCTGCCGTCGCCCGTGTGCTGGACGAAGCTCGGAAAGCGGTGGATAGGGGGGACTTCGATGCCATCCAGGAATCTGTGGACCAGTTGCATCGGCTTTGGGCGGACCAGGCCGAGGCGGAAGTGGCGGTGGCCACAGGCACCCAGCTCCCCTTCCGTGGGCCCCGAGGGAAGGCCCCCGCTCTTAGATGGAAGAACATCCTGGCCCCCGACACCCAGAGCCCTAAGCAGCCCGTCTTGTTTGCACATAGGTGGCTTAACTCTCAGGCGCAGAGGCTTGGGCTCCACTGGGAAGCCAGTGGCCGTGCAGGTGTTGCCTCTGTGCTGCGCGTGCTGCGTACCCCTGTCGGGGCCATAGCCAGCGGCCTTGATGATAGCCCCCGCCTGCTCCCGTACCTCGTCGAGGTCGGGGGCGCCATGCTCGACGCGCTGGAGGTGCACGAGCAGATATCTCGTCAGGGGGCTTTACTGAAACGTCGACGTCTTGATGTCGCTCCTGGAGATGCGGCCGACCCAGGAGCGCGCTTTGCAGTCATTTCTAAAGATTTTGTCTGTTGGCGCAACACTTTTTAATGACAGCCTGCAGGAAGTCGAGTGCGACGCCAGGAAGGCGGCCTCGGCTGAATGGAGAGACTGGCTGTTAGAGAAGGCGGATCAAGGGGCGCGGAAGATACATATGGTCTCGAAGGGGGCCACCCCCTGGAGGCCTACCACCACCTTGGCCTGTGACGGTGTTGTGGTTGCTGACCCCTTGTCCCTCCTTCGTGCCGAAAGCCAGCGTTTCTCGGGCCTCTGGGGGGACGGAAAGGCCCGCCCGTGGCTCCCCAAGGGTATGTTGTCCCTTGCTTTGCCCGAGTTTCGGCCCGAAGATATCCGCGCGATCTCCAAAGGGTTCCGCGAGCGTACCGCGGTGTCAGTTGATGGATTTCACATGAAGCACTTTGCGATGATGTCCGATGCCAGTCTCAGCCTCCTGTGCGACATCCTAGGAATGATGGAGAGGTCGGCTGTCATCCCTATTCAAATTTCCATCATTATCATGGCCCTGATTGCTAAACCGTCCTCGGGGTTCCGTCCTATCGGTATCTTCTGCAGTGTGTTTAGAATGTACGGCAAGTTTCGCCGAACTCTCGCCGATGAATGGGAAGCTAGATTCACGCGTGAGTATTTTTGTGCTGGCCCGTTTGAGGGAGCGCAGGACGTCATCTGGCGCCAAGCCTGCAATGCCGAGGCCAGCACTGCGCAAGGAATGGAATGTGCCACTCTGTTAACTGACTTGTACAAGTATTATGGGGCCCTGGATCTCCAGGTCCTGGCCCTCCGTGCACACCAGGTTGGCTTCCCTGTTGGCATCTCGTACTTGTGCATCGCCATGTACTCCCAGGCCAGGTTCCTGTCCTTGGGAGGTTTTGTGGACGGGCCCTATTGGGCCCTGGCGGGGGTGGTGGCGGGGTGTTCCCTGGCCACGACCTTCATCAGGGTTAATGCCATTCAAGATTTGGACGCCCTCCGCCTCCCTCGGGCCGTCCAGCTCAAACTCTACATCGACGATGGAGGCTTGTCTGCGACGGGTTCCTTTAAACAAGTTTTAAAGCGGCTTCCTCAGGCCGCGGCTGACTTGCATGACGCCCTCGTCCACGGAGTGGGCGCGGTCATCAGTAAGGAAAAGATGTCCTTAGTGTGCTCCTCGCGCCCCTTAGGCAAAGCCATCTCTCGGGCTCTCGGGG